AGAGACTTGCAGCTGTAATTGACTTTGGGGGGGTGAATAGTTTTGTACGCTCAAGTTTTCAGTTTTTTCTCTCATTTCTTGTTTGTTTCACAATAAAACATCTTTTTCATCTTCAAAGTGGTAGGCATGTTGTGTAAATTAAATGATACAAACCCCCAAAAAATCAATTTTAATTCCAGGTTGTAAGGCAACAAAATAGGAAAAATGCCAAGGGGGGTGAATACTTTCGCAAGCCACTGTAGACATAATATGAGATTTGAAATGTCTCTATTCCTTTGGAACTTTTGTGAGTGTAATGTTTACTGTTAATATTGATTGTTTATTTCACTTTTGTTTATTATCTATTTCACTTGCTTTGGCAATGTAAACATGTTTCCCATGCCAATAAAGCCCCTTAAATTAAATTGAAATTGAATTAGAGAGAGAGAGAGCGAGAGAGCGAGAGAGAGAGAGAGAGAGAGAGAGAGAGAAAGAGAGAGAAAACAGATGTAGCACAAAGGGAAGATAAACAAAATTACCATGGCACCAAGACTTGTCTGGTTATCACCACTGGTACTGATTGGCTGACCTTCACAATACAGACGTGTCTGTGATAGTCTGTGTTTACTGACTCAGAGTAACCCTGCTCCTTTGTTACCCAACACAGTCCTGGTAGAGGGAACAGTTAACAGTGAATGAGGACACCCACCATTCCCAGGAATATCATCTCCTCCAGCCGTTCTCTCCTGGTCCTCTTCCTCTGACTGTAGCCCCGCCAAACCTAGAACACACCAGAAAATCAGGACACCTAGAACACAACAAAAGAACAGGACACCTAGAACACACCAGAAAGACAGGACACCTAGAATACACCAGAAAAACAGGACACCTAGAACACACCAGAAAAACAGGACAGCTAGAACACACCAGAAAAACAGGACAGCTAGAACACACCAGAAAAACAGGACAGCTAGAACACACCAGAAAAACAGGACAGCTAGAACACAACATAGGACACCTAGAACACACCAGAAAAAAAGGACACCTAGAACACACCAGAAAAAAAGGACACCTAGAACACACCAGAAAAAAAGGACACCTAGAACACACCAGAAAAAAAGGACACCTAGAACACACCAGAAAAAAAGGACACCTAGAACACACCAGAAAAACAAGACACCTAGAACACACCAGAAAAACAAGACACCTAGAAAACAACAGAAAAACAGGAAACCTAGAACATAATAAAAGGAGACACGTAGAACACAACACAGGACACACCAGATAAAAGAGGATTTTATAACCAGCATGCCCATACTGCATTACACGAACAGCTGAGAGCTGAGCAGAGCCCAACAAATGCCAAACACTCAGGACCTGGGGGCTGGCAGGCAGCTAACATCCAGGAGACAGACGCTACTCATGATAACATCTGGCATTTTTAACACAGAAGAGACCCCTCTCTTTGGCTGGCCTGCTCCAATGATATCTCCCACTCAGATAGACGAGGAATGCAATGCTCTACTGCAGGGAGGAATGAGCCTACGGATCAGTCACAGTACTGGTGACATCTGATATTAAAGTATTGTCCTATTTTACCAATGTACTGCTTACAAAGTCAGGTTCGTCTAACAGTGTTTGATCGATACCGTCTCTTGTGCAAGACAGGGATTAACATTCACCCAGTGCTCCGCCTGAACATGAACCCTAACATGTCAGGTCAATAGAACCACTTGTCATTACCTCAGCCATGGTATAATGATATATGATCCAACCTATCCATAAAATAGCTACACACCCGATTCCTCTGTGAAAGCAATGTGCCCATGGGGCTTTGTTAGGCCAGAGATGGTTAACACTTGGGCCGATGAGAGAGCAGGGTCGGGGGGAACTGAAAGTGAGTCTGGATTTTAGGTGTTCGTTTCCATGGCCTCACTAATCATGTAATGTGATAACCCAGCGTTTTGACATCTGGGTGTCTGTATTAGAACATCTAGGTGGTGCTATGGTTATGAACCAACCAACAGCAGAGAGGTGACATTGAGATAACATTGTTGAGACAAACTTCTTGTGCCTTTTTGCAATGCAGGCAGAAAACTATATAAACTGCAGTCCATAGCTGGACCCATTTCTCCATACAAAGTAAAAGCAGCCATCGTTTTGGACTTGGACTCAGTCCAAGTGTATAGCAGAGTTTAATGGAGATGGAATTCTGTTACCCATCTTTGTGCAATTCATCAAGAGGTGGTTTGGCTCTGACTAGAGAGAGTGGGATGAACCACAACCCTCTGACTGGAGAGAGTGGAATTAACTATTTTACCCTTATTTTACCAGGTAAGTTGACTGAGAACACATTCTCATTTACAGAAACGACCTAGGGAATAGTTACAGGGGAAACCCTCTGACTAAAGAGAGTGACCATATCAAAGTAAATGTCCAGTGGAAATCTCACTTTTAAAAGTTCATATTCTGTTAACTCATACCCAAATAATGTTGTTAACTCATCCAATATTCATATTTTGTGGACAAAGCATAAATTGGGGGGAAAACACTTTTAAAAAACCAAACTCAAACTTGTATCTCAAACAGACCGTTTCAAAAATGCTTATTATTTCCTCATAGAGGATGATGTCATCCTCCTGAGGAGAATTAGCTGGCCAGTCAGTGGTCTGTCTACCTGCATTAATATGTTTTATGCCCAAACCATTCCAAAACAGAAAAGCTGCTTTTTAACATACTTAAAAAATTGGAAGGAAAACTATTTCACACATATTGTAATTAATTATAGGTCATATTTCATAGAAATCTGGAAATACTGGAGAGTTACTTTAACCCCGTGACTTGTGGCTATGTCTTTAGTGGTTCACTCGTATTAAAACATGACTTAGTACTGTTCAACAGCAATTGGAAATGTGGGCCTGGTATTGAAAGTAAAGTTTGCGGACAGAATATGAGAAACAAAACAATAATGATACACTCCATCCCTTCTGAATGCGTGTGGCAGCCTGGTCGGGGTCCATGGTGCTGGTTGGTGATACACTCCATACCTTCTGAATGCGTGTGGCAGCCTGGTCGGGGTCCATGGTGCTGGTTGGTGATACACTCCATACCTTCTGAATGCGTGTGGCAGCCTGGTCGGGGTCCATGGTGCTGCTGGGAGTTTGGCTCTGGGCCTGGCTCCCCTCTTCCTCAGCCTGCCGTATCTCCTTCATGAAGCGGTGCCTGAGCCGTCCCTGCCGTGCCCGCTCACAAACCTGAAGGACCCGAACAGCTTCCTCCAGACACATGGTCTGAACCGACACCTCCTGACACAGACAGCAGTATAGACATAGGAGGGACAAGAACACTATGAGAGCAATGTTAACCTCGTCCCCCAGGCATATAACTTGGGGAGGAAGCATTTGTGTCACGCTCTGGCTCCGGGACTTTGTGTGTTGAGCCAGGGTGTGTTCGTTTTGTGGTGTTTTGTTTGGTTGGGTGGTTCTATGTGTTGTATTTCTTTGTTTGGTTGAGTGACTCCCAATCAGAGGTAACGAGTGTCAGCTGTTGGCTCGTTGTCTCTGATTGGGAGCCATATTTATACTGTCTGTTTTCACCTTGTGTTGGTGGGTTTTTCTGTCATAATCGTCTAAGGAAGGAGTGGACCAAAGCGCAGCGTTTGTAGCGAACATGTTGACTTTATTAAATAAAGCAACCCCGAAAACAACAAAACCAAATGACGATACGTGAAGTCCAAAAGTGACAATGACTGAACAGGAACAAAAACCCACCACCACAAGGTGAAAACACACAGTATAAATATGGCTCCCAATCAGAGATAACGAGCCGACAGCTGACACTCGTTACCTCCGATTGGGAGTCACTGACCAACCACGGAAAACAAAACCAATACCAAACACAACAAATGAACACACCCTATACCCAACACAACCAAATGAATACACCCTGGCTCAAACAACACAGTCCCGGAGCCAGAGCGTGACAATTTGGTGTGTGAGACCAGAGTAATGTTAACCTCGTCCCCCAGGCATATAACTTGGGGAGGAAGCATCTGCTGTGTGAGACCAGAGCAATGTTAACCTCGTCCCCCAGGCATATAACTTGGGGAGGAAGCATCTGCTGTGTGAGACCAGAGCAATGTTAACCTTGTCCCCCAGGCATATAACTTGGGGAGGAAGCATTTGGTGTGTGAGACCAGAGCAATGTTAACCTCGTCCCCCAGGCATATAACTTGGGGAGGAAGCATCTGCTGTGTGAGACCAGAGTAATGTTAACCTTGTCCCCAGGCATATAACTTGGGGAGGAAGCATTTGGTGTGTGAGACCAGAGCAATGTTAACCTTGTCCCCCAGGCATATAACTTGGGGAGGAAGCATTTTGTGTGTGAGACCAGAGCAATGTTAACCTTGTCCCCCAGGCATATAACTTGGGGAGGAAGCATTTGGTGTGTGAGACCAGAGCAATGTTAACCTCGTCCCCAGGCATATAACTTGGGGAGGAAGCATCTGCTGTGTGAGACCAGAGCAATGTTAACCTTGTCCCCCAGGCATATAACTTGGGGAGGAAGCATCTGCTGTGTGAGACCAGAGTCATGTTAACCTCGTCCCCCAGGCATATAACTTGGGGAGGAAGCATCTGCTGTGTGAGACCAGAGTAATGTTAACCTTGTCCCCAGGCATATAACTTGGGGAGGAAGCATTTGGTGTGTGAGACCAGAGCAATGTTAACCTTGTCCTCCAGGCATATAACTTGGGGAGGAAGCATTTGGTGTGTGAGACCAGAGCAATGTTAACCTCGTCCCCCAGGCATATAACTTGGGGAGGAAGCATCTGCTGTGTGAGACCAGAGCAATGTTAACCTTGTCCCCCAGGCATATAACTTGGGGAGGAAGCATCTGCTGTGTGAGACCAGAGTAATGTTAACCTCGTCCCCCAGGCATATAACTTGGGGAGGAAGCATCTGCTGTGTGAGACCAGAGTAATATTTTAGTTTTATATTTTATTTTACATCCCCACTATCTATTTAGGCTGAGGTAACCTGGTATTTATTTAATGAATTGCATGGAAACAATTGTAGTAATATTTGCTTACATAAGGGAGTCTGATTGTAACTAGTGTGTGTTTCTCTAACCTGCTCAACCTGTTCAATGTGTCCCCCTTTAGCCATGACATGCGCCAGCATCTTCTCTCTGTCCCGCAGCACACGCATCTTCTCTCTCACAAAATACTGAGGGATGGGCACCTCCAGGTTCTCCTACAAAATATCATATTGCATAAATCTTTCTCTGTCGTTGTGTGTGATTCAATAGGTAGAATCTCTGAGTTAAAGGGGTGAGACATGTTCCAAATACTTTGAAAATTACTATCAGGATACAGAAACTGAATTGTTGTTGAACCTTTTGAGGACCACAACTCATTTTCCTCACTCCCCCTTCACGTCCTATCACTCAGTCCCAGGTACAGTACCACTGACTCACAGGTGTCAGCTTGAGGTCCTGCAGCACATCATCAAAGTAGTGGAACTCTGAGAACTCCAGCTCCACCATCTCGTTCTTGAGCTCCAGGAGTCTACCCATCACGCCGTCCAACACGTGCCTGACCATGCGCCTCTTCTGGGGGTGAACTATCTGGTCGTAGACTGCCTCCAGGCCGCGGAAGATCTGCAGGTACTTCAGGTAGAAGGTGGCCAGGCCCTGGAAGACCTGCAGCCGGTCCTTCAGCGGCCGAGGGGCAGTGGGAGGGAACTCATCCACCAGGAGGTCCTCCAAGGCTCCATGGGCCTGGACCCACATCCTGGTGTAGGAGCTGAGGAGAAGGACAAGGAGATGGAGGAGAAGGGGAACGAGAAGGAGGAGAAGGGAGAGAAGGAGGAGAGAAGGAGGAAAGAGAAGGAGAAGGAGGAGGAGAAGGAGGAGAGAGAATGAGAAGGAGGAGGAGAAGGAGGAGGGGAAGGAGGAGGAGGAGAGAGAGAGAAGGAGAAGGAGGAGGGGAAGGAGGAGGAGGAGAGAGAGAGAAGGAGAAGGAGGAGGGGAAGGAGGAGGAGGAGAGAGAGAGAAGGAGAAGGCAGAGGGGAAGGAGGAGGAGGAGAGAGAGAGAAGGAGGAGGAGAAGGAGGAGAGAGAAGGAGAAGGAGGAGGGGAAGGAGGAGCAGGAGGAGAGAGAAGGAGAAGGAGGAGGAGAAGGAGGAGGGAGAAGGAGAAGGAGGAGCGAGAAGAAGAAGGAGGAGAAGGAGGAGAGAGGAGGAGGAGGAGGAGAGAGAAGGAGGAGCAGGAGGAGGGGAAGGAGGAGAGAATGAGAAGGAGGAGGAGAAGGAGGACAGGAGGAGCAGGAGGAGGGGAATGGAGAGTGGAGGAGGAGGAGGAGGTGAAGGAGGAGGTGAAGGAGGAGGGGAATGGGAAGGGGAAACAGAAAGGAGAAGGAGAAGGAGAAAAAGGAGGAGAGAAGGAGAAGGGGGAGAGAAGGAGAGGGGCATGCTGCATGTGAATGGAAACGTGATGGACCAGACTAACTAAGCCATCCAGATCAAGTTCACTGGCCATATTTCGAGGGAAGGGTTCTCTTTCTTCCTATTTCTGGCTCTTTATCACTTTCTTCTATCTTACTTTTCTTGACGAACCAAGGCCAAGGTAGAATCCTCACCTGTTTCAGGATAGCTATCCTTGGCAGATGGCAGAGCTATCTCTCCAGGTAATGTCTGATAAGTACCATTAAAAGGTTTGAAGGACTCTAACACTTATTTCTCGCACTTTGCACTAGAACGTCAATAACCCTCTCTTTGTCATGTAGTAACTGACAGGTGGTCTGTCAGTCAAAACCTTCAAACAAGCCTAACACCACCTGGCTAAAACACCTGGGAATGAGAGGGGTGCACTTGTCTACTTGGTCATAGTTTACATCTACTGTAGGTATAAAAATACTTTCCTACCTCAGCCTAGCTGTTGGAAAAATGACTAAGAGTTTGTTGACACATAGAACTATCAATTCCATAGAAGAAAACTAAAATGACTGTTAGATATCCCTAATGTCACTCCCTAACAGCCATCAATAAATAACCATTATAGGCCTACAGATGTTGGATCTTAATTTGACCTATAATGTTACAGCAACATAATCCTGCAGCAACAGGATTTTAACAGATTTTAACATTTAGTCCATAATGTTGCTTGATCGGTGGTTAAGCTTTTAGCTGGCCAAAAGTAGGCTACATGAAAAGTGCAATACTGTTAATATAACTGTGTGTTAATGTCGGTTTTCAGTGAATGTATGTGAATCACGAAGCTCATCTGCATTTCCTGCGGTGCAGGAAAATTCTCAGCCACAAAAGAGTGATCAAATTAAGCTCCTACATCTGTATACATGTAATTATTTTCTCTTTGAACTTTTAACATAGTTGCTGCCTTGGTAAATCTAAAAGAGCTGAGGCTTACAATGGTGAAACCATGCTCCTTTCATATTCCTATGAGGCCTATGTCATTACCCTAAAGACAGCATTTCTATGGCCCAGAGGAACTCTTGTTAGGGAACTGGTTGAATCAAAGCTGCCAGGGGAGAGTGGGTGGGAATGGGGGAGGAGTAGTGAGGACTAGGCTGAGAGGACATTTCTGAGGGGGACATTACAATAAAATGAGAGGGTGTCGGGCAATTCAACCAGATACCCAACTAGTGCCCAGGCAACAAAGCTGTTAAGTCAAAATAATTCAAAGTACCACCATTGAAACACAAAAAACGACAGGGTCAACAAATCACAAAGGCTTATACCGGTCAGGGGACCAGTACATAAAGGATTAGGCTCTATTTTGTTTCATTTGTTTCAGGTCTTCAGTGACTAGACATATTTCTGTGAATACAGCTGTGTGGTAACATTCCAGTAATGACATCTAGGGATGGGTAATATTGCTCAGACTAACTGCTTTTGAAAGGCTTAGCCAGGTTGATACAATCATGCCTGTCTGTTGTTATGGGAACAGCAAAACACAATGTAGACTTCCTCTCTCTTTTGCAAACTGCTGCATTCCCATAGCCCTTCTAATAGTTAGGAAAGCATACAGGAAGTAGGACCACAACTGACTCTGAGTAAGTTGTTTACTCTGTTTGGGGTTGTGCTGTGCATCTCCTGGAAATATTAGTCTGTAAATGTGGATGTAATTTGGATTTTTCAAGTCCAAGTGTCCTATAGGCCTATATAGTCTAGCCACAACATTGGTTACAGAATTTGCACAATATGATATACATCATGTAGATAAAACAAAATAGAATACCTGTGTGACATTCTTGCGTGTAATTCCACGAGCTATGGTTCCAATAGAATTGTGAGTTCGGTTTTTCTTGATGCTCTGATCAAATTGAAAACATCTCACTTTAATTTCCTAATTTAAAAATAGGGTATTTAATGATAATAGCTATATTTAGGTTATTATAGTGGAAACACAGCTGTTCTGGATCGGTTCCATCCTTGGGATCTCCAGACTCTCAGAAACCGTTCAGCAGGCAAAACATGGGTCAGACAGGTAGGTGCTGGGGAGACCAGATTAAAATCTCTATCACACAAAACAGTAGCCAATAACATCGCATTTGATGTGGGAAAAGATCGTCATACTCGCAAATAACACAGACTAAGATTATAATTTTAAACATTAATAATTTGGGAATATTTTATCAATACAATCACACTGAAGATGTCATACTGTACCTAAAAGAGTTGGCCAAAAAAGTGATGCGCTTCCCATCGACTGAAGCGTGTTTGCTTTCTTGCTGTGTGTGCACCAGAGTGTCTAGCAACGAAACGCCACGCCTGCGCAATGAGACTTGCCACTGGATTTGACCAAACGACCGCTCCTGTCGTTTAGAACTACTGCAGAAGAGATGTTGCACTCACTTTACGGGCAGCAAACGAATTTATACAGAGCATTCCTTTCTCTTTTTTCAGTCTACATTTTCACAAGTTGTTTTTCTAAAGTTGTTGACAATATTTAGTCAACAGTACCAGCACATGTAAAGACAGACACACATCACTCTATGCACACTTAGGCAAATGAGCTGGCTGAATATAGATTAATGGCTTTCTAATGTGCAAAATCAGCATACTGTAAAATTCAATTTGCTGTGAATGCATCAATAGATCCAAAGGACTTCCTTTATCCTGGTGGTCCCCCAACACAAAGGCATATTATGAGTGCTATATGATCCGTCATGCTTGCCTGGTATATTGAATAACTGAATGGTGAGAGTGACAGTGACACACAGGTGCTACAGCCTGTTGAAATGAACTTTCCACGGGTTCACTAATGGATACATAAAAACTGGCAGATAGGCCTATAATGTTTGAAGTGGAACCGTATTTCAGATAACTTTTATATATATATATATTTATATACTACCAGTCAAAAGTTTTAGAACATTTTGCCTTGATGACAGCTTTGCACACTCTTGGCATTCTCTAAACCAGCTTCACCTGGAATGCTTTTCCAACTGTATTGAAGGTGTTCCCACATATGCTGAGCACTTGTTGGCTGCTTTTCCTTCACTCTGTGGTCTGACTCATCCTAAACCATCTCAATTTGGTTGAGGTCGGGGGATTGTGGAGGCCAGGTCATCTGATGCAGCACTCCATCACTCTGCCTAGGTCAGCATCCCGGAGTCGCCTCTTCACTGTTGACGTTGAGACTGATGGGTTTGCGGGTACTATTTAATGAAGCTGCCAGTTGAGGACCTGTGAGGCGCCTGTTTCTCAAACTAGACACTCTAATGTATTTTTCCTCTTGCTCAGTTGTGCACCTGGGCCTCCCACTCCTCTTTTTATTCTGGTTAGAGCCAGTTTGCGCAGTTCTGTGAATTGAGTAGTACACAGCGTTGTACGAGATCTTCAGTTTCTTGGCAATTTCTCGCATGGAATAGCCTTAATTTCTCCGAACAAGAATAGACTGACGAGTTTCAGAAGAAAGTTATTTGTTTCTGACCATTTTGAGCCTTTAATCGAACCCACAATTGCTGATGCTCTAGATACTCAACCAGTCTCAAGAAGGCCAGTTTTATTGCTTCTTTAATCAGCACAACAGTTTTCAGCTGTAATAACATAGTTGCAAAAGGGTTTTCTAATGATCAATTTGCCTTTTAAAATGATAAACTTGGATTAGCAAACACAACGTGCCATTGGAACACAGGACTGATGGTTGCTGATAATGGGCCTCTGTATGCCTATGTAGATATTTCATTTAAAATCTGCCGTTTCCAGCTACAATAGCCATTTACAACATTAACAATGTCTACACTGTATTTCTGATTAATTTGAGGTTGTTTTAATGGACAAAAAAATTGCTTTTCTTTCGAAAAGAAGGACATTTCTAAGTGACCACAAACTTTTGAACGGTACTTATCAATGATCCACAGTGCACTTTCATATTCCAATGACATGTTTTATATCATTAAAAGAGAGGTTTAAGGACACAACACGGGCAGTTATGTAGCCAACTGTAAGCTCATAAGGTGGAGGGGAGAGGAGTGTTTTATACCAAATCTCACTGGATTTGCCTCTGATGGGCACAGGCTCGGTGGGAACAACCTCAGAAAGTACCCGAATCTGGTGTTGGCTTGCAGGACATCAGAGACTGGCCCCGATGGTTCTGTCAGATGCAGTGAGGATGGACATGCATTGTTCAACCAGGTGCAGCACCCTGGCTTTGTCAGTCAGACACAATCTATCTACTGTATCAAATTCCCTGGCAAACAAACGTCCATCCTTCCCTCCTAAAATTAGACAATACATTGGCAAATATTTCAATGAATGAGATTTCACATTGTGCTGTTTTTATATGGCATGGCATATGGTAAGATGTCTTAGCAAAATCAAGATAACAAGTGCCAAGCGTGGCATAGGGCCTATGTGTTTGGGTATAAACTCATCCCAGTAAGGCATGCAGGTGAACAGGTGAGCTCCTAAAGAACGCCAAACCTTTTAGTTTGTTCCAAGAGAGATTAAACACAGTTCAACACTAAATACATTCATCTACGAAGTGTTCAACTTTAACCACTTGCAGGTCAAATAAAGGAATGTGTCTCTTCTGGTCTGTTTTCATGCCTTCCATCATCCACATCTTGCCTAGAAGCGCAAGCTAATCTTATTTTCACACCAATCTTTATGCACGCACTCAGGTCACTCCAAATGGGATTTGGTTTGATAGACAGCCTTATTAGGGAATTTTTTTGGTTAAGAAGCCCTTTATCTACATCAGATGAACTTGTGGATTGCATTTAAGTTCCTACATTTAGCAGACGCTCTTATCCAGAGCAATTAGGGTTACGTTTCTCCTAATCGGCTCGGGGATTCGAACCACCGACCTTTCGGTTAGTGGCCCAACGCTCTTAACCGCTAGGCTACCTGCCGCCCTGGATACCAGTTTTATGGCTCTGCATCCAGAATGAAGGTAGTTAGAGGTAGTTTAGTGACCCGATGCTAACTAGCGCTAGCGCAATGACTGCTAGCATGTGACTGGATGGTTGGCTGCAACCGTCTACAGGTAAAACATAGCCTACTGGCTAACAGTTTCTTGCAACTATTTTACATTAAATTTGGGCAAGTATCTACCAATATTCTAATGAATTTAGCATAGGCTACTAAATTACACCGTAATGACATCCTGATAATATGGTCCTACAGAAAATCTCGTAAATCTATTATCAGAAATTTCCCCTAAAGAATTCAGCACCAATGCACCATCAGTATAGTATCGGGAAGGTGATGGAATGCATAGAAGCAACGCGCTCCGTGACAGACTTTCTAATTGGACGTCAGACTTTTCAGTACTCGGACACAAATAACTGTAACTACTGTTTATATCTCTATTATGTTGTTGGGAGTGGAAATCCGATGTTTCGCACGTCCGTTGATTCCATTGTTGTTTTATTGAAACCTCAATGAATCAGTTTACCAAGCTGCCTAGTTACCCTAGTAGGCGTTGCTCTTTGCAGTATTTAACAAGTGCACCCTGACCAAGCGAGGTAGTCTCGACAGAGCAGGAACGGGAGAGTTCCTCAGTCAATTTGCGTATAACCTACAGACTTCATTAGGCCTACTATAACCTCAATATTGAGTCTAGGGACTCTCAAAAGCATTCACGGAGACATTTTGTACAAGTTCTGGATTGAAGGAGTTACGAAGGACACAGAAAGGCATTTTGTAAGTAACTTCTAAATAACACTTTGAATACCCATAGCGCATTTTATCCTACTTTTTCACTGACAGAAAATAAAATTCATTTCGTTTTCATAGGCAGTTATAGTTTTCCTAACTTGTATGTTATATGTTTGTTATTTGTTAGTTTTTCTTGAGTTTAGAAAACGAATGCTTTGACATTACCCAACCATACCATGGCACTGAGATTTGTTGTGCCCTGAAGTTGTCATACATTTGTAAAAGCGCCCCCGGGTCTCACAGTTGGGGGTGTGGATTAGCAGTGGGTTATATCCCCGCAGACTGGTCTACATCCAATCAGCTCTAGATTGCCCTGTATGTAAGCAATTGATACAGCAATGAATAGACGCACCTAAATTGCACACAATAACGTTATTTTTTAAATCTTAACATAATACATTATAGCTGACAGGTAGAGGTGGAGCGTGTTTAGGAACGGTGGGTCTGTTTATGTGAATAAATCACACATCAAATAATTCATGGAAAAGTCCTGTAGTTTTAGTGTGTATTTCCGTTAACAAAAGTAGTTTATAGTAGTACAACATTCATCTACTGTATCTTCAGAAGACTTATGCACTATCACTAAAATTCCACTAAAGACTGACCCATTTTGGTCGTTCACATATTCAGCAGGCTATATGCTGGATGTATACCATCTATAGGCTACCTTTCAATGCATTTATTTACTACAGATGGTTGTAGAATTTTCACTGTGAAAAAGAGTGAGGGGGAGAGAGCGAGATAAAGCCCTTAAATTTGAATTGAATTGAAATTGAGAGGGAGAGAGAGAGAGGGAGAGAGAGAGAGAGAGAGAGAGGAGAGGAGAGAGAGAGAGAGAGAGAGAGAGGAGAGAGGAGAGAGAGAGAGAGAGAGAGAGAGAGAGAGAGAGAGAGAGAGAGAGAGAGAGAAAGGGAGGTAGTTCCTTGGAGGAGGAGGGAAACAATATAAAGTTGCAGGGTTTCTGCTGAGACCAGAGATAGAAGGAAGATGGAGAGGGAGAGTGGGTGGGAGAGGGGGAGGGGAAGGGAGAGGGAGAGGGAGAGGGGAGAGTGGAAGGGAGAGGGGAAGGGAGAGGTGAAGGGAGAGGGAGGCTGGAGAGGGAAGGGGGAGGGAGGCTGGAGAGGGGGAGGGGGATGGAGAGAGAGAAGGGGTGTAGTATGTTGAGAGGAAAAAGCAGAAAAGACAGAAAGACAGTGAGAAAGACAGAAAGACACAGCGAGAGAATGAGTGAGAGACCAGGAGCGAGAAAGAGAGGAGGTGTGTATGTGTGTGTGTCTGTGGTAGGATGTAGTATTGAGGTGTGGTGGTGACAGCCGCTGTGTCCACACGGGCAGCTCTTTGTGCCCCAGACGGTGCTAGCTGCCCTGGGGTCGGGGGGGCTAGAGGGAGGACCAGGGAACCAGGTGAAGCGCCACTCTGTTTGACCAGTGAAAACAAAACAGATTTACAAGGACTGGCACATGGAGGTGCAACATTTAATGTTATCCATTCCCAAATGGTGGGATTGATAGCAGTAAAAACATCCAGCTCTCTGCAGCTTTTGTTTTGATGTACCCTCCCTCTCCCAAATGGGGCAGGCTGTCAGTTTTCATCTGTCAGTGATTTAAGGTCATCTTAAAGACAGCTGTCTGTCTACTCATGTTACCCACAAAGCTTTTAAGGCTATATAGTAATTTTGTTAGGTGAACAAACATCTGGCTAATGTTATAAGCAAATAAACAAACAATTAAGTTGTTTGATGGCTAAGTCCAGTTAATCCGTTTCAATTGCATTTATATTAGTGCTATTTGTTTTACAGACATAAAGTATAAACTCTGAACATGTCTTATAAAGTGCTCTATTCCATGAAGACCTGCAGTAAAAGCCAAGTAGTGAGAGGTTTTATCAGTGTGTGATGGACCGTTCACCTTCCATAAACATGCGCACACACACACACACACACACACACACACACACACACACACACACACACACACACACACACACACACACACACACACACACACACACACACACACACACACACACACACACACACACACACACACACACACACACACACACACACACACACACACACACATTCCGTCCTGTCCATATCTCAATCGCAGGCTGTGTTCCAGTGTCTGTGACGCTATCACCTTGAGGTATTCCTGGTTCACATTGAAAGCATCAGTACTCTCTTCACTCTCTTCGTGCTCAAGGCTAAGTGAATGTCGTTGGGAGGTCCATATTTCACGGTCATAAAAATGGATGTACACAAATACAATGGAATCATAAATGGCCATGCTCCACATTTACCTACAGTATTTAGTGACATTTATTTGATTTAGCTTAAAATGGACCATGCTAAATTTTGAGTGAATTTTAAAATCTCCACATTTACATTTGAAAACTGTATAATCTGAAAAACCCTTTATTTTGATTTAGTAATATGCCATTTACTGGCTTACTTCAGTTCATAATTCAGTGGTAATACAGGCATAGTTGAAATAGTCGCTCAGCTCCCAGCATGCAGTAGTCAGATGAGTCTAGGAGGAACTCTGCTTGTTATTGATGGACTAGGAGGAACCCGGGAGTCCTGAGGAATGTCTCTGTCTAATGAACTAGACGGAAAACATTGAGAACATTCCTGGACACAGCATGCGGTCGGTCTAACCCCCTGACATCCCACCATGCCGCCTCTGGGCATGCCCATAGGGGGCACAGGGGACATGACCCTCAGATT